GGTTAGATGCGCGCGCACGCGCGCCCTGCTGGCGCGCTGCCCGCCGCCGCTGCCAGCCCCAGCTGACGAGAGACACCCGTGACCGTTCGGCTTGAAACACTGTTGCAATGCCAGTCAACCCCTTTAATACTTGCAATCACACAACCCTTCCGGCACCGCCGAAGCTGCTCGGTATACTCTCCCCAGATGCACAACCCCTGACATCACCGGTGGTGTCTTGACTGGCCTGCAAGGTTGTGTTGTGCGTGTTGGCTGTGACTCTGTGGTTGCTCGGCCTCCTTTATCTGGGTAAGAGCCTTACGTTTGCTGACGTGGCAGAGCTCGCTGCACCCAGTCTGCGTTATGAGTGACCTAGGGTCCGCCAGACCTCCAAACCCATAGCCAGCCAGCCACAAATAAAAGCATGAGGGGGGCACAAAGCAGCACACGGTAGTGTCCAGCGACTCCCCTGACCAGCAGGTTGTCGTGAAGAGGTACAACCGAGAGAGCACAGGAGTGTGCAACGCACGCACCGACTGTCATCGACTACCCGCGGCCACCGAAAGACCAACGGGCACCCCACTGCCTCCACCTGGTCCAGCCGTCTCTTCGCCCATCCTGTGGGGCCCAGACTGTCCCAAGCGGCTTGCATTTTGCTGGGGGTCTCAATGGAGACAGGGCACCAAAGCATGCTGTATGGTACATGTATGGTACTTATACCCACACCAACCAACCCTGATCCGCCCTTCCCCCCCCCCCCGAAAATAAAGCATGCAATGCAGCAAGCCTTGTGTTCAAGCGCGTCTACGCATAAGCAGTTGCCGTCGGCAGAGGGCACCCTGGCTGATGTCATTTCTGTCCACCACTTCGCGCATGCTTTGTAATACGTGGGGGGCCTGTCATTCACACCGCACCCTGTGTCGTTCTTAAGACCACCTGGTGTACCAGCATTTGCCCACAGGGAATGTCCCGCTGCCCCAACTGCTGTATTGCACTGCTGTATCAGGCACGATGGCCGTGCTCAGGCCAGTGAAGGGGCTGCCAAGCGCATGTGACTCCGGCTTGTCGGGTTGCCGCTGGAATCTTTAATGTCTTCCGGGTCCTGCCTGCATGTAGAGCCGTCTGCGCGTCACAGTAATTCTCTTGTGCTTCAGCCCGCGCCACACCCGGCGCCCGCTGGGCATTTCTGTTTATCATGCATGACAGCTGTGGACCCTTGACCGAGAACAGGTCAACGGCTGCAGCGGCGCGCTGGGGGACATCCACGGATGCTGGACACGTGTCATCTCACATGTGTAACAGTAGCTCTTTTTGACTTGGCCATAGTGCTGCGGCGCAAGGCATCTGCACGAAGTGGCGACGATCCAACTTGGTGTGGTCCCGCCGCTGCGAGTCCGCATGCAACAGTCAGTTTAGTAGCAGCAGTCTAATGCACTAAAAAGCGATCAAAACGCCGAAAACACGCTGAGAAAGCCCTGGCGACCGCCGCCTTTGTTTCGGGTGGCGTCCCTTGCTGAGGTGGACCCCACGCACTCACCTCTCGGACTTCTTGTCTGTTGCGGCGCACATAACATGCACTGCCCTGCTGGAAGCGCTCAACATCACAATTTTGTCCCTTCCCTCGATTCTGTCGCGGACAAGCACGCCCCAACGACGGCATAAATTGTGCAGACCGACCGCTGCGACGATGTCTGTCCTTGCGTCTCGTAGCCGTGCTGTCCGCGTCTTCTCTTCTGCCCACTCCCAGCCTGGCAGTCTTGGGCGCGTACCTGTCCCTCTGCGCCAAGGTGCGTGGCAGTGCTTGGACTCATGGTCCACCTAGGAAGCGCCTCCATCTGGCTTCTCCCTTCCGTTTTTGTTATGTAATGCCTATCGCATGTATCTCAAGGCATGCCGCGAGCCTCGGTGATGCGGCACACTCGCTGAAAGATGCGGGCTGCATCCATTTCAAGTTGGCGAGTGTCTGCGAGGGCGTCAAAACGTTCCACCGCCCGCGAACGCAGATGTACGTGCTGGCGCAGCCCCTCACAGTATGGCGTCCAGCCTGCCGTCCGGCGCGGCGAACCGTCCCCACCAGCCATTGCCCTTGATTGTTGACGGCGAGGGCCAGGCGCCAGAGGCCATCGCTGCGCGCATGGTAGGCGCGTGGGTTTGGTTGCATCGCTGCTCAATTTCTGGAACGGGCACAGCAGTTGCCTTTAGGTTGTACCCTGTCCGCTCCCCGCCTACGCCTTGCTGCCTCGGCCGCGTGACCTTGACAACCAAGGATGGGCCCCTGATTCTGCGCTCCTCCCGTCTCGGCCCCTCCTCCTTATGTCCGCAGAAGGAGCACCTGGAGCGCATGCAGCACCAGGTGGGCAGACGCCCGGCGCCGCGCCCTGCTTGCGCGCGCCGCCGCGCCATCAGCGCCCCCGCAATTGCTCACAACTCGATCCGGCTGCCACCCATCCTCCGGCTCCAGCTGCCGCCAGCCCGGCCTGCCAATAACATGACCCTGCCTCCCCCTCCCGCCCGCCCCAGGCCATCGCGACCCACATCGAGCCCGTCACATACGCGCGCGTCCGCACGCTGCTGCCCGGTGTGAAGTACCACGCGGGCGCCAAGTGCCTCATGATCAAGTCGGACGACGCGGCCCTGCAGCGCCTGCCGGGCACCGTCGGCGTTGTCGGCGCCGCCGCTGACGCGCAGGCCGTGGAGCAGGCCAAGCTGCTGCTGCAGCACCTGGGGGCGTTTGTCATCGCCAAGGGCGGGCTCAGCGCCGCTAACATGCAGAGCGTCATCGAGGCGGCGCCCGCGCTGCAGGTGCGGCGCAGCCGGCCGCGCCTCAAATGCCTGCCCAGTTTGGTGTGCAAGCTTGGCAGATTGTGGTAACAAGTCTACAAATGCAATCTTCGCTCCTGGTTCGAAGCACAATGGCCTTCCTCTGCGATGCAAGCTCCCCTGGTCTCGTGTGAGCCCTCGCAAAATGTGCACCCATATTGCAGCACTCTCCCTGAGCGCACCCATCCACGCCTCAACATCACCCCACCCCAGGTGTGCGATGTGGTGATCGTCGTCGCCGGCGCCGACGCGGCGCTGCCCACCGCCGTGGCCGGCTTTGTCGACGCCCCGGTCCTCGCCGTCCCCACCTGCGGCCCCTGGTCGCCGCCCCGCGGCTCCGCGCCCGTCGCGGTCGCGGCCAGCGCGAGCGACGCCGCTGTCATGGCGGCCCGCATGCTGCGCACCGCGGCGCACCGCGCGCTTCACATCGCCCAGTCTGCGGCCGCCACCGCGGCAGCTGCTGGGCATGTGCGTGTGGAGGCCGCTGCGCACGCCCTGTGAGCCCCGGCAGCGTGCCACCCGCCTGGCTCGGCTGCCCGGGCAGCAGCCCTTGCCGCCACGGTGTCGGCTGTGGCCGCTGGCCCAGGTTGAAGCACAACCAGAGAGACAACCAACCAGACCTGACAGCGTTCTGATGCTCCACGGCTGCCAGCTGGTGCCAAGGCGGACGACCCCCCTGTTCGTACCTCAAGAAATGAAAACAAAGCCTAAGCGGCACACAATCACCTCGCATTCACGCGGGGCTGCGTCCCAGGCTGGCTCTCATGACCCAATGAGGGCCGGTCCATTTTGGTTTTGGCGTGGCAGGCGCGGCGTCGATCCCGCTCCAACCGCGCACCCACCGTTCTGGTTCTCACGCGCTGTCCCATGCGCTCAGGCTCGGCCCTGCGTTTTGGAAGACGCTTCAGCAAAAAGTTCCGCGGAGCTGCCAGCACCCGACAGCTGATGCAGCACGTCGATTGCGCGGCTGCCCGTTTTGGGACTGGCTGGCATCGAGGGGCGCTGCGTGCCTGCTGGCGCGTGTGTCCGTAGGCCCCTCCTCACACACAGCCTCACAGGGCTCGGGGACCGGGCCTAATTTTGCGCGACCCGCAAGCTTGTCGCACGCACCCACGCGCCCCTCACGCCACGCCATGTGTACATGCACACGCACAAATTTCGCGTGCCTAGCGGGCGCGAACACCCCCGCCGCAGCAACCACCTCGCACTTGCGAGGGGCGGGCCCTCGGCGGGCTGTCTGGGCCAATTTGTGTGCTCCCGGTCCCCCTTCACCTTTGGTAGCGAAGGCATTTGTGTTGACGTTGTTTTAGGGCGCGTCTCATTGTTGATTTGGCGTTGTTGATTGAGTTTTCACACGCACCACTGCAGTCGCTCACGACACACGCACGGTACGCAGCACAACACGTCGCCGCACAAAACTGGCGACGGCGAGCTGCGCAACACGCGACTGCACTGTACATATCACCGCTTTTCAAGGTGTCATCATGGCGTGCCTGCCACGGCACACATACATACCTGACGCACGTATGCACACAGGATTTTCTTGCGGCGCAGGTGCATGGATTGGCACCTGCTCCCGTGTCGGAAAGGCCCGTCAGCCCGGACCACCTGCCACGCGCCGGCTGCTGATCCGCGGCGAGGCTGGTGCCCCTATCTGGGGACCCGCGCAGCATGCAATGCATATGTTGCGCGGTCGCGAACGCAGGTGGCGGGCTGTGTTTTGTTCCAGTACAAGTCGATGGTTTGTTTCAGCGCTCAAGCGTGTTGCGCTCGCACACCTGCACGGTTTCCTAATTCTTCCCACCGACGAGAGCAGCAGCAGCGCGCGCTCCTGCCCCTTCCGCCTTGACGCGCGCCACATAACACCGCAGCACCCTTCATGGAGGCTGTGAGGGACTGGTCCGTGGTGCTGGCGGTTTGCGGCCAGGCCAGGGTGCTGTGGTCAGCAAAACGCGTTGAGATCCTCTTTGCCACACATGATTTTTCCTACGCGGGCAGCTTTTCTGGGCAGTCTATTGGCCCGCACTGATTGAGAGAACAGGCCCGCACTGGAAAGGCCTGCACTGTTTGAGAGAAAAAAATGTTCTGATGGTGAAATCGACGATCACTGTTTCATGGCAGCAAGCCAAGGATCTGTGTCCTGTGATGCTGGTCAGCGGGCTGATTCAGTGTGTCTCCACTTGGTGGCGGCGTGGCAAGCGCTCAGGCAACTGGGCCTGGGTGCGCTGTGCTGTGTGTTGACAGCCGGGATTGCCGTGTATGGGGCACACATGCTGCTGGCTTGACAATCGTGCCGAGCCGTCAGCGTAGTGCACACCCACCTGATCCCATCCGCCCTGTGGACACAGCGTCATAGGGACTGCCTCGGACCGTCCATGATCATCGCGCTGCTGTGGGGGCGGTGCTGCATAGCCTTGACTGATGATCCGATTCAGCCTTATGCAAAGTTGCTGGCGAACGGTGCTGCTGTTCGACGCAAACGACCTTGGCACACAGCACTGTCCCACCGATGCGGGAAGGTGAGCCCAAACAGCGGCGGGCGAATGACGGAGCAAAGCACAGTAGCCGGACCCCGCCTCTTGCACAAATCACACGAAAACTCAGCAGTTGGTCACCCAGCGTGCTTATTATACCTGTCGCCTTCTACAAAGCTCCACGTTCTGCGCAGAGGCTTGCACTGCGTGGCACGAGCGCAAAACTGCCCGTGTGAGGCTACTTCGTTCCTGACTGGACGAGGCGCGAGTGTGATATAACTTGGCAGATATGGGGCACTCACTTTCACGCGAGGTGTTTGCCGGCGAGTCTGGCCTGCAGGCTCGCGGCCGTGGGGGAGGGCGCTGGCCCGACGCGCGGCAGACGCCGCAGAAATCCAAAAAGCAGCGACTGGGCATGGTGGGAGGCGGCGCCGGCGGCTTCAACAGCTACAACGAGCAGCAGCACGCATGGACGATCAGCCATGGTGGAGCCTCGTCGTCGCAGCCGAAGGCGGGGGCCTCTGGGCACGTAGCCAGCCCGACTGGCGGCGATGCTAGGAGCGGCGGCGGTGCAGGGAACGACAACGTAGCACATGGGTGACTGTTTCACAACATTTACGTCCTCTGATTTGGCTGTTGTACACGACGATGCGCAGAGGGATGTCGCAGTGCCGGTTTGACGCCATTCTTTCTTCCACTTGCAAATTGGTGCCCCGAAAGGAGCTCTGCAGCCGCAGCACATTCCGATTGTTTGCTTTATCATACTGTGTTGAATAGCTTGGTGCGGGGCTTGGGTGAACACTGACCATAGTGAGGTCTGCGCTCTTGTGATCCAGCTCTGGCCGCGTGCCGCCCTGCTGTTTTGAAGCGAGACTCACGCGGCCCATGCAACTCCATCGACGCCGCCTCATCGCAACCCCCACAAGAACCGTCTTTAGCAGGCGCAGCCTGCTGCGAACACACCCTTCCTTCCTGCTCAGGTCTGCTGTGGGCGTGCCAGTTCTGTGAGCGCCGACCACCAAAACACTAAGCATTGTAACTTTGGTCAGGACAGTCTTGCATCACGATGACCTGGATTATGCAAGGTGGAAGTTGGGGGGGAGTCTCCTTTACTTCCTTATGGAGTTAGTAGGTCATGTTTAAAATAGTGGCGCATCTGGACAGGCGTGACAGAATGGGGGGGTTCTGGATATCAGGTTGCCGCGTCACATCTGGTGGTGCTACCGTGACATGTGGAACCAGGTATGAGATTGGATCGTCGCTACAGTGAGTCTGCTGCAGCCTTCACCAAAGAAACAACGGGAGTGCAGGACGGGCAGCGACCTGACAGCGGCTGGCATTGAGTTCGGCAGGCAGTGAGAGCGGCAGGCAGCGAGCAGGCAGCCAGTGCCTCGCTGTCGAAGCCTCCGCACATGATCAAAGCCGTTAGCACGTTCAACGTGGATATACAATAGACACGTTTTTCCCGGCAACCAATCAACGGCGCTCACAAGCCAGCTCCCAGTCTCAGGGAAGCGTCGGCACCCGAGATGGCTGTCTATGGGCGTCACCTGCTCAAGACAATTATACTTAGATATTGTCCTCTCGGCGGGAGTTCTAGAGGAGTGCGGTGAGCAGCGTGATCTGCGCTGCAAGTTGCCGCTGCTGCCTTGGTGGCGCCCTTTCACAACGTGCTGACCAGAGGCTTTCAAACATATGCAGGCAGTTCATGGATTACGACCTGCCGCTATTTGAGCAGCAGCACCGGCACGTCAAAGTACGCGTTGAGCAGCGCCGCGGGCACCACCCCTACATTGAGGCTGAGTTTGGTGCGCATACTGCCTCTGCATGCCGCAGCACTGCACGCGTGGTTGACAGGCAGGCATGGAGCTCTGTTCGTGGCCTTGCAAGAAGGGCAGCGCGCTGCGCAGCCGGCTGCGAGCGGTTGGGAGCCGCACCTGACGCGATATGCCTCCGCTCCCCTGTTACAATACCAACCGCAGAGCACGCAGTGCCTGAAAAGGCCGAAAAGCGCCACACCCATCCCGTCAGCCTGCGCAACCTGACGCCCCAAGAGATCAGCAGGGAGCTCTGGTGGCTCATCGGCAGCCAGGGGCGGCCCCAGCACAGCCGGGTCCCGCCGAAACGCGTGATCAGCCGCAACCCCAGCATTCAGGGGGCATGGAGCCCCACAACTTTCGCAGCGGCGCGGGCGCAGCGGTAACAGCGGCAGATTCTGCTGAGTTTACAGCAGAGCGGGCACAGTAGCAGCTTCTTGGCGCATAGGACAGTTTTTGAACAATTATTGGAGTGGTGCAGTGGCGACCCGGGCTGCCTGCTTTTGGCCTTTGAGGGCCTGATGGATTGGACGCCGCCGCATGTGGCCACATCAGCGGGACGTTCCAGAACGCAGCTGAGACCAGCGGCACGCCTCACTGCGCGGCGCGTGGTGTTTTCTCGGAGGTCCTCTTGTGCGACCCCTGTGCGAAATTGACTGAGGGCGCTGCAACATGCTCCCGATGCACCCAACAGCATTTGATTCATCAGATGGCCGATCAAGACTGCCTTGAGAGTGTTGGTTGCCATCCTTGCCCAGGCGGCCAAATTGTAATGACGTTGCTCCTTTGTACCCTTGGGTCTGCAGCGGACAAGCCGAGGTTGGTATGTTGTGCATGCGCCATGACGCAGCCCGCCGCTCCCAGGCAGTGCAGTTGGCAACAGAACAAATCCCGACACAACTGTGTGCGGCCTAGGCTTTGAAATCAGACCACTGCCTCCACATCTTGGACATTGTCGCTTGAGCGCACAGCAACCGTGTACCAGTGCAGAAGCAATCACTATGGCATGACCATGCAGCACGTGCAGCACTGAATTGAACACTCAATTGAGGTGAGCGCACGCTCCTGAAATGAAATGAAACGCGCTGGCTGAAACGCGGCAGCCGCTGACGTGCTCAAGCACACAACAAACACGTGTCCCTGCAGTGCTGAACGAAAAATCCCGGCCAGGTGGCGCTCACGAACACGACCGCGCCGCGGGCCGCGGCGCGTGTGGGCAGACGTCGGCAAGCGGGACGTTTTGCGCGGGCGCGCGCCGGGCCCGGGCCCACAGGCTGCGCTCCTGGGTGCATTTGTGCCCAGCATTCGACCACTCGCGGCGGCACCGGCGGCCTACAGATGGGCGCTGGTTTATTTCGGCCTGTTGGCCGACCAAAGGTCGGTGATGGGGTGTACCTCGATGCATTTGAAGTTTGAGTGCGCACACGACAGGCCTGGGCCAGGTGCATGGAGGTTTGAGGAAGCCAGACACGCATGCACACGCGGGGGCACGGCGAAATAGCCGCCGCAGGAACCCCCAGCGTCGCCGCCGCTATCACGTTTGACCGGTCAATCAGTCTCTTGGGGTCGCGTCGTCCATTGTGATTGCAGAGGGGCGGGGCGGCGACGCTGGAGCGCTGGATGCGGGCACCAGCAGGAGCCGCCCCGCGGCTAGGCTCGGTGCCGTCGCCGCCAGCTCAGTGCTTCATTCCGGGTAGCACTACGTGAGCAGACGCCCCCGGCCTAAACGCCGCTGGCGCCGCCGCGGCACCGCCGCCGCCGCCGCCAGCGCCAAGCCCCGCCGCCGCCGCCCCCGGCCACCCCGCGCCCACCGTCCCGGCC